AGTATTCATATCCTCATTTTTTTTTATAGCGCCCCTCCATCGTGTTTCTATTCCTTTTTAAAATATCTCCTATGTCATTGTGAGCATTTCTTGCGACTTTATTTCCCCTGACGATGAGTCCACCTTCGCTCACTAGTTGTTAATATCCGCGTGGGAAGGTTCCCTGTTTTAGCTACGATGTAATGAAAAGGGCGCGAACACTTTTCCTGTTTTTTTTTTTTTTGGAGAAGAACTCCTTTCACCCGGCTAGATGTTGAGAGGCCGGGGCGTCAGCCTCGCTCACAGCAGCCTCCGACCCTGGCCTCGATCGATCCTCCTGCCTTCGCTCCTCCCGAGTAGCTGACACGGCGTGCGCCTCCACGCCCCGCTCGTTTTTTAAACTTAAATTGGTCAGAATTCTATTTTAGTAGAGACGGGTCTCACTCTTGCTCAGGCTGGCCTCCGCCGACCCTCAGCATCCTCCCGCCTCGGCTCACAGAGTGTAGGAACAGTACTTAGGCCACCAAGCCGGCTCATTATTTTCTCCATATATTAGTTGGCATTAATTTCTTTCTCTTTAATAGTAGAGACGGGGTCTCGCTGGTTGCTTCAGCAGGTTTCTAACTCCTGACTCGGAAGCGATCCTCCTGCCTCAGCCTCCCTCCCGAGTAGCTGGGACTACAGCATGCACCACCACGCCCGGCCTAATTTTTTCCAAATTATTTTATTTTGGCCAGTAATTTCTTTTATTTTTTTTTTTGTAGAGACGGGTCTCGCTCTTGCTCAGGTCTGGCCTCCAACTCCTGACCTCGAGCGATTTCTCCTCCTCGGGCCTCCCACCAGGTGCTGGATTACAGGCGTGAGGCCTCCGCGCCCGGTTCATTTTTTTCTATTTTTACTTGTTAGACTAATTTTTCTTTCTAATTTTAGTAAAGACGGGGGTCTCGCTCTTGCTGAGGCTGGCCTCCAACTCCTGACCTCGAGCGATCCTTCCCACCTCGGCCTCTTGAGTAACTGGGACTACAGGCATGGCCACTCGCCCACCTCATTTTTTCTATTTTTAGTTGTTGGCTATTTTTTTTCTATTTTTAGTAGACACGGGGGTCTCCGCGTGCTCAGGGCTGGGGTTTCGAACTCCTAACCTCGATAACGATCCTCCCATTCTCGGCCTCCCCTTCCCGAGTAGCTGGGACTACAGGCATGCGCCCACGCCCGGCTCATTTTTTATATTTTTAGTGTTTGGCTAACTATTATTTCTTTTTTAATACAGACCGGGTCTCCCTCTTGCTCAGGCTGAGCCTCCAACTCCTGACCTCGAGCGAGCCTCCCGCCTCGGCCTCCCAGGAGTGCTGGGATGACAGGCGGTGAGCCTCCTCGCCGGCGGCCTGTGCTAAATTCTTCAAGACCAGGATTGTCTGTACCATGTAGAGTATGGAATCCGAGAACTTCAAGAAGTGAAAACAGAGCGTTGAAATGAGCTGAACGGGCCGGGCGCGGAGGCTCAAATGCCTGTCGTCCCAGCACTCTGGGAGGCCGAGGCGGGAGGATCGCTCGAGGTCAGGAGGTGGAGGCCGGCCTGAGCAAGAGCGAGACCCCGTCTCTACTAAAAAAAAAAAAATAGGAATGAGGTGGACGACTAAAAATATATAGGAAAAAAACCCGAGCCGGGCGTGGTGGCGCATGCCTGTAGTCCCAGCTCCTCGGGGAGGGAGGCTGAGGCAGGAGGATCGCTGGAGGTCAGGAGTTTGACACCAGGCTGGGCAAGAGCGAGACCCCGTCTCCACTGAAAATAGAAAGAAAGGAGCTGGACAACTACAAATATAAAAAAATATAGAGAAAATGAGCCGGGCGTGGTGGCGCATGCCTGTGGTCCCAGCACTCTGGGAGGAGGCCAAGGAGGGAGGATCGCTCGAGGCCGGGAGTTGGAGGCCAGCCTGAGCAAGAGCGAGACCCCGTCTATAGTCAAAATAGAAAGAAATTAATTGGCCAACTAAAAATATATAGAGAAAATATGAGCCGGGCGTGGTGGCACGTACCTGTGGTCCCAGCTACTCGGGAGGGAGGCCGAGGCAGGAGGCTCGCTCGAGGCCAGGAGTTGGAGGCTGCTGTGAGCGAGGCTGAAGCCACGGGACTCTAGCCCGGGTGACAGAGCGAGACTCTGTTTAAAAATAAAAAAACAAAAGCCCTGTATATTAATGTTTATTCGTGAGTTATTTATCGTCATGGAAAACTGGCAGCAGCATTTTTTTAAAAAAAACAAGAATCGTTTATTGAGCTTGTTCCCTTTTTTGTTTATTTATTTATTTTTAGTTGGCCAATTTCTTTCTTTCTTTCTTTTTTTTATTTTGAGGCACAGTCTGGCTCTGTCGCCCGGGCTAGAGTGAGCGCCGTGGCGTCAGCCTCGCTCACAGCAGCCTCCGACTCCTGGCCTCAAGCAGCGATCCTCCTGCCTCGGCCTCCCTCCCTGGTAGCTGGGACGACAGGCATGCGCCACCACGCCCGGCTCGTTTTTTCTCTATATATTTTTAGCTGTCCAGCTCATTTTTTTTCTAACTTTTTTAGTAGAGACGGGGTCTCACTCTTGCCCAGGCTGGCCTCCAACTCCTGACCATGAGCGAGCCTCCCGCCTCGGCCTCCCCTTGAGTAGCTGGGACTACCTGGCTCATTTTACTTTATATGATGTATAATTATATATATATTTTAGTTTCTCAGCTCATTTTTTTCTATTATTTTTACGTTTTTAAGGAGACGGGGGTCGTCGCTCGGCTCAGGCTGGCCTCCAAACATCCTGAGCCTCGACTGATCCTCCGCTACTGGCCTCCCAGAGTGCCTGGGATGACAGCTGTGACCTCGCGCCCGGCCTTGCTATCCTTTGTAATTTTGAAGTGCGCTCATTCCGTGGGTGGGATCCTGACATCCAGCCCGGTTCCTGGGACCACCCCTTGCCCCATAACTCTGTCTGTCTCTGTCTTTTGTCTGTCTGTCTCTTTCTCTCTTTGTCTCTGTGTCTTTCTCTGTCTCTGCCTTTTTCTATCTCTTTCTCTGTCTCTGTGTCTCTGTCTCTCTGTCTCTGTCTCTCTGTTTCTGTCTGTGTCTCTCTTTGTGTCTGTCTCTGTCTCTCTGTCTCTGTCACTTTCTGTCTCTTTCTCTGTCTCTCTGTCTCTGTCTTTCTGTGTGTCTGTTTCTGTCTCTCTGTGTCTCTCTGTCTCTGTGTCTATCTCTATCTCTGTCTCTTTCTGTCTCTGTGTCTGTCTCTGTCTCTGTTACTGTGTCTCTGTCTCTCTGTGTCTCTCTGTTACTGTGTCTCTGAGTCTCTCTGTCTCTGTGTCTCTCTGTTACTGTCTCTGTCTCTGAGTCTCTCTGTCTCTGTCTCTGTGTCTCTGTTACTGTGTCTCTGTCTCTGAGTCTCTCTGTCTCTCTCTGTTACTGTGTCTCTGTCTCTGAGTCTCTCTGTCTCTGTCTCTCTGTCTCTGTTACTGTGTCTCTGCCTCTGTCTCTGTTACTGTGTCTCTGTCTCTGAGTCTCTCTGTCTCTCTCTGTTACTGTGTCTCTGTCTCTGAGTCTCTGTCTCTGTCTCTCTGTCTCTGTTACTGTGTCTCTGCCTCTGTCTCTGTTACTGTGTCTCTGTCTCTGAGTCTCTCTGTCTCTCTGTGTCTCTGTTTCTCTTTCTGTGTGTCTCTCTGTCTCTGCATGTCTCTGTCTCTGTCCTCATGCCCCGCCCGCCCGGCGAGGGCTGAGCGCGCTGTCCCCGCAGATCTGGGACACGGCGGGGCAGGAGCGGTTCCAGTCTCTGGGCGTGGCGTTCTACCGCGGCGCCGACTGCTGCGTGCTGGTCTTCGACGTCACGGCGCCCAACACCTTCAAGACGCTGGACAGCTGGCGCGACGAGTTCCTCATCCAGGCCAGCCCGCGCGACCCCGAGAACTTCCCCTTCGTCGTCCTGGGCAACAAGATCGACCTCGAGAGCAGACAGGTGAGCCGCCCGGCCCAGCGGAAGGTTCTAGAAGGCTCTGGAAGGTTCTAGAAGGCTCTGGAAGGTTCTAGAAGGCTCTGGAAGGTTCTAGAAGGCTCTGGAAGGTTCTAGAAGCTTCCGGGCCCGGAACGTTCTAGAGGCTGCTGCCGGCAAGGGGTTCCTGCCTGGCGCCGTGGCAACCATCTTGCAGACCGGCCTCCTTTGAGGCCCCCCCGGGGGTGGGGACAGGTGACCTGGCTTCCGTCGTCCCCCGTGGCGTCCCCCAGCGTGGAGGCTCCCGGCCTCCACCGTTGCTCCCTGAGCCTCACATCGCCTCCTGGGCTCGCCTTTTGTGTTTTTCATATTTTTTTTTTTTTTTTGAGGCAGAGTCGCGCTCTGTCGTCACCCGGGCTGGAGTGAGCGCCGTGGCGTCAGCCTCGCTCACAGCAGCCTCCGACTCCCGGCCTCGAGCGAGCCTCCTGCCTCGGCCTCCCTCTGGAGTAGCTGGGACTACAGGCATGCGCCTCCATGCCCGGCTCGTTTTTTCTATATATTAGTTGGCCTAAAATTAATGTCTATTTTTTTTTTTAGTAGAGACGGGGTCTCGCTCTTGCTCAGGCTGGCCTCCAACTCCTGACCTCCCACCATCCTCCCGCCTCAGCCTCCCTCCCCAGTAGCTGGGACTACAGGCGTGAGCCTCCACGCCCGGCTCATGTTTTCTACATATATTTTTAGTCGTCCACCTCGTT